GGCGCCCTCGCTCCGCCGCGCCGCACGGCGCCTCCCGCCCAGGCCCCCGCGGCCCGGCCCCTCACTCACCCAGAGCTCGGTGCCCCAGCTCATGGTGCAGGGGGCGGGAAGGGGCGCTGCGCGCTGCGGCCGCGGCCCCCCGATGCCCCTCCCCGGCAGTCGCTGCAACCCTCGGGATCCCCGCGAGCGCGGAAAGCCCGCTGCCCGCCGCCTCCTCCGGCCCGCGGCTCCTCCGGCCCCGGCTCTCCTCCTCCCGGTAGCTCCGCGGCGAGCAAAATGGCCCGAGGAAGCTGCACCGCGGCCGCCGCAGCGCGCCCTCCCCACACCGGAGCCGAGGGGCGGGGCGGGGCGGGGCCAGGGATGGGACTGACAGCTGAGCCCCGCCTACCTCGGGCCGAGGGCGGGGCAGGGGCTGGGACGAGGGCGGAGCCGGACTGACAGCTCGCGCCCCGCCCTGCGCGGTCGGAAGGATGCTGAGCGCGGGGAGACTGCTCCAGGTCCATCTTTCCTCTGCTTGGCAACCAGCACTCTCTGGGCCCTGCGCCCTGAGCTCTGCGCCCTGCGCCCTGAGTCCTGGGCTCTGCGCCCTGCGCCCTGAGTCCTGGGCTCTGCGCCCTGCGCCCTGAGCTCTGGGGACACCCGTTCACTCGCCTCAGAGCCCTGGCGGTCCCTGGGATCGGCGGGGCTCCCCGAGGTCTGTGCTGTACCAGTGATCAGAGATGCCCAAGGTGCTGCTTCTCCCACCGGCCAGCCTCTCAGGAGGCACAAGGAGCCCGGCAGCGCGCGTGGGAGTGGGGCCTGGAACCGTGACGTCGGTGCGCTGTGCACTCAGGGACGTCGGTGTGAACAGCAACCGAGCAGCTCTGAGTAGCAGGGGAACGAATTCCGGGATGCACACCCAAAGATTCCTAATGTGTGGAGCCAGCGGTTTCCTATGTGTTCGGCCAGGAATCCTGTTAGCACTCCAGACCAGAAGCGCTGCTCCGCCCGGGGAGAGCTTGCTGGGTTCAAATCCAGCCTCGCACTTGTAGCTGGGCGGCCTCGGACAAGGGCTCCACCTCTAGTAACAAAGCCCCAGCTGCCCAACAGAGGCAGTGACCAGTCCCCGCCCGGTGATGTGGACCAAGGAGGTGCACATGGCAGAGGTAGTAGACGCCAGAGTGGTCCACAGACATCAGTCCTCATGCTGTGGGCAGTTTGGGGAGCTCCAACCGCATCCTCAGAAGCCCTCGTGGCCTAGCCCCAGTTTTCTTTTTGTGAATTCTGCTGGGTTCTTTCCTGAGTAGCCACGCCCGCATGGACCCCTCTTATAAACGCTCCTCCACTCCCTGATCTCTCCAACCTGTTGGTCACTCTCCTCCATGGAACAGTGAAGCTCAGCCAGGTGTGGTGGCCCAAACTTGTAGTCTCAGCACTCCTGAAGCAGAGGCAGGAGACTGCCGCACGTTCCAGGCCAACTTGGCCCCCATACTGAGTACCAAGCAAAGAGACCTTGACTCTTTATAATAAAGAAAGAAACCAAGGCAGGAAGAAGGAGGGCGGAGCTGACAGACCGAATCTGCTTCCTCCGTTGCTCAGCTATGTTTTAACTATCTGGGTCTGTCTTTTTTCCGTTACAAGCTCCTCTTCCCTCCATTTTTTGCATGTTTAAATATTCTGCCCCTATGGTAAAGAGGTCTGAGTACTCTACTCCCAAAATAGTTGGGTATTTGACCATCAGAATGGCCAGCCACATCCTTGCCAAGGAAGATTCACAGCCAGGGTGAGTTGGAGGGCTTGGAAATGTAAACAGGGCTACGGTTTAGGGTGCTCAAACTTGAAAATGGCCAATGAAATTCAGGTTAGGCAGGGAGACCTTGCTTCAGTAATCACCTCAGTTTCCCTTCCTGCCAACATTGGATTTTTTTTTTTCAGTTACATAGGATGATCTAATCTTGATTGAGTTCTTGGAGACTTCTGAAAACCAGAATGACCACTTGCAAAAACAGGCTAACCAGGAGGTAGAAGTGTGTTTTAAAGAGAAGGCACAACCACAAAAGAAAAAGACTTTTTATGTAAGCAGGAAGTTGTTAGTTACAGGAACTGTGAAAAGCCACAGCTCCTGTGGAACTGAGTGAACCCCTACCACACTCAAAGTATCTTTAATTTGATTAAGTTTCTGTGGTAATTGGGAAAGTCTTAGAAGAGTCAAAATCTTCAGGAAAAGAAGAAATACAGCACTGTCCCTGAAGAGCTGGAGGACATCAGGGCTCAAGACAAGGGGAAGTAAGTCAGCAGAAAATGCGATAGCTACAGCATGGTGTTTTGGGTTTTTTTGGCCTTTTTGGTCTTTTTGAAACAGGGTCTCCCTGTAACCCCAGCTGTCCTGTCTATGTAGACCAGGCTGGCCTTGAACTCACAGAGATCCACCTGGTGTTTTGGTTTTTTAGAACCAAGTAGAGTTTAGTTTCCCTTAGAGCAAGAGGAAGTTGAGAGAACCCAAGATTCCCTCTGGTAAACTACCTTGACCTGGCCTTTCAGGAGAGGTGATCTACACGCTGCACAAATGCTGGCATCCTGGTGGGCTGGACACCTCTTCTGCCTCTTAGTAACTTAGGAACACTGACTTACAAAGTGATGATTTTGGTGGCTTGTCTATACATTGTCACTGAATAATCTGACCCCATGGGAGGTGTTAGCCCTAAAATAAGGGATCCGGACAAACAGTGGAGACCTTGCCTATGTGGGCTTCTGGGTAGTTGCTCTGTTTTT